GGTGTATAAGTATTGTACCTCTTCAGTTAAATTTATTTCTAATTTTTTTATTCCTTTTGATACTAATATAAATAGAATTGTGTCCTTAATTTCATTTTCAGATTATTCATTGTTTGTGTAACATTTCTTAAGGAAATGGGTAGAGAGTAAACAAAGTGACAATAGTTATTAGACTCTAGCATATGGAAATAAATTTAAAGAAGGCAGTAGACTAGTATAGCCTATGCCTTTGAGAAAGTGACTAATCTTGTGGACCCATATTTTCCTCATCTGTAATGCAAAAATAACTATCTTTGTCCTAATGGCTACTATTAAACTGTAAACAAAATAACAAAAAAAAAAGTGATTGGCACATAGTAGATTATTAACTAATCTTGGTGCCCTCCACTGCCCCCTCTTTTTAACTCTTTGCCTTAAAACTGTAGCTCTTTTATTAACTGCAAATTAAGCTCCATGCTAGATCCTTGGTGCCAGGAACCATAGAAATAAGTCTCTATCTCTAGCCCCCATCTCTGCTTAAAATCTTACTTAATATCCAGAGAACCCCCAGTGCCTGCGACTGAATTCTAGCCATCTGTTGCCAGGTGCCAGATCTCCTGGTGCCAAATGTCCAATAATTGAGACATGTTTTAGAGATATGTTTCCAGTCTTACATGCCATTAGAGAATGATGTCCATCACTCTTTTTATTAAGAGTTCAGAAAGGTCCCACTTCTTTTAAGATGGTGACACAAATCTTAGGAAAACCATCTCTTTGTCCCATACTTGTAAACAAGAATGCTCAGCCTGGGTATGTTCGTGTCAGATTTGCAGAGCAAACCTATCAGGAACCCCATTGGATCTCTTAGCTAACATGCAAATGGAAAGCAGATGCCAGATAATTCCAAAAGCATAAGTGATTCAAGCAGAAAATAATTTGAAGTTAAAATGAAATACTTTCTCAAGAAATTAATACAAGTATACATCATTTATTTTAGAATGAATAGGTATAGCCAAATAATCAGTTACTTATGTTTAAAAGGAGGAAGAGTGACAGGAGATTTGACTTTGGGTGGCAAACACACAAATGCAATATGCAAATGATGTATTATTGAATTGTACATTTGAAACCTATAGAATTTTATTAACCCCAGTGATTTTTTTTGTCACCCCAGTGAATTTAAATAAAAGAATGAATGAGTGAATGAAAGGAGGAAGGATGTCTGTCAGGGGCTCCCTCTTTGAACTCCCATAGCATTTTGCATGGACCTCTCAGTGCCAAATCACGTTGTGTGGTGTTACCTCTTTTGGATCTCTCTCCATCTATTTTGGAATTTCTCTAAAGTGTGTTCAGCTAATTATGGTCTGTAAATATTGATTGACAACTGCTTTGTGCATCGAGCCCAGTATGAGGTTCGGTGGATTTAAAAAAATGAGTGAGACATGGACACTACAAAATCAGCATCCTCAGGGTGATAGGAAATGCTGTTTTGGAAGTGAATTGACTAGATCCTTAGGATTTTATTTTGACCCCTTCTCTGTATTTCTTAAATACATTATTATTTCATTTTGAAAAAGAGTGAAAGAGTGATGATAAAGAGAGGGTCAACATTATTAAGAGAAAATAAGGCCCAATAGCCATTTGATAGTCAGAGAAATGGAAGGGACTGAAGTGAGGCAAATTCAGAAAGAATTGGTGACTGTTTGGGACAGGGAGACAGAATGGCAAGGACAGGGTCCAGAGGCTTCTCTAACTACTTCTTGTGTACTTTGTCTTTCTTCTTAAAGGAAAAGCTGTGTTCCTTGCAAGAGATAAACATCACCTCTCAGACATCTGCCATCTGATCCGCCATGATGTGCCGTACCTGTTCCAGAAGTATGTGAAGGAGTCGCATGGAAAAGATATTCGGGTGGTGGTGGTCGGCGGCCAGGTTATAGGCTCTATGCTTCGCTGCTCCACGGATGGACGGATGCAAAGCAACTGCTCTCTCGGTAAGGTATAAAAGCTCAGAGTCCATTTGTTGGTCATGGGAGGCCAGCAGGATTTTTCATTAGGATGTTTGGACCTATTCAGTAAACATGTACCAATTTCTCCTATCTTGTCAGACCCTCTGCTAGGCACCAGGATCACAGATAAGAATTAGAAATAGGCCCCTACTTTTAGCAGCAAGCAGTCCAGGAGGGGGACAGGTGGGTGTAAGCTCTATGACAGAGTCAGGCCAGGGATGTCAGAGCACAGAAGTTTGAACCCCGATCCTGTAGGTGTTAGGATTTAGCACCCAGGTTTAAACAAGGGAGTGATGTGAGGATCCATGTTTGAGGAAAACTGACATCTGGTTGGAGGATGGATTGAAGACATAAGATGGGAGGCAGGGAGACAAGTTTGGCAGCTGCTCTAAGAGCTCAGTCAAGAAATAGCAAAGGTCTGGGGGTGGCTCCATAGTGTAGTGGTTAGCACTTCTGCTTTACATGCAGAAGGTCCTGGGTTCGCACCCCACGTGGAGCAATGGACCATACTCCAGGTTCCCCTGTGCCCCCGCTACCCCACACCTCCCCGATACCTCCCCATACCTCCATCCCCTGCCAAGCCAAGCATGCAAAGAACGCGTGGGAGGAGATGCCCTGCCTTCAGAGATCCAGTTCTTAAGGGGAGATGGCAGCATCTGTAGGTCAAGGGTGGAAGTTGGGGGTGGCATTAAAAAGGGAGAAAAAAATAAAAGAAATAGTGAAGGTCTAAAGTAAGGCAATGGCAGGAAACAGAGCATATTCTGCTTTTACATTATAATTGAAAATTGTGTTTTTCTTATATGTATGATGTTATTAGAAAGGTACAGTTTATCTTTGGGTCAAATGCCTAACCCCATCCCATGAACACACTGATAAAGTTTGTTTTCTGTTTTGATGAATGGAGATGTTCAGGAAGGATGTAAATTCTCTTCCCCATTACAGAAAGCTATTGTCAACTTCATTAACTGAATTTGTATGTTGGTAATATGAAAAAAATACCTATCATTATTATTTCGTAAATCGCCAGGTGAGAGTACCCAGTCTAGTGACTAAGAAAGAGGTTGAAACACTGATTTCGTCCTTCTTTCGTTAATACTGGTTGAGCAGTTTCCACAAGTGGACTCTATGGTAGATAAGAAAGTCCTTGCCCTCGGGTAATTTATGGTCCAGTAAAAGAGAAGACACATAAACAGATCATTGTAAGATATTGCGATAAAGTGGTACAGTAGAGGCAAATTCTAAGTTCAGGTTGACACAGTTCTGTGTACCTAACATATTTTCTCCTTTAATTTTCACTATAATCATGTGTATAGTGCCACACTATTGAACTTTATGTGTTACTATTTTGTCTTTTTCACCTTAAAGAATCCATTCTCTAACAAGGAACCACATGGTTTTGTAATTTATCCATGTTACTTTTCTTGCTGAGCTGTTTTTATAGCCTTTTCCTTATACAATATAATAAACGAGGAAAGGACAGTGTTAAGGTAAAGGTGTGAGTTACTGGACCTGAGAATACAAGTCTTAAGTCTTTCCAGGGAGACAATTAAATCTGAAGCCTTAGCTTTTTAACAAGTAAAGACAGTCAGACTCTGTCCTTGACACAGGCTTTTGTCTCACAAGCCTCTCCATCTTGCTCTTCTTAAAAAATAATCTTAATTTTTTTTTAATTATAAAAGGAATATATTCTCCAAGTAGAAAATTTGGAAAATACAGCAAAATCAAATGAAAACATTTTATCATTAATCCCAACATCTTGAAACAACTGATGTTAACATTTTGGTTTTGTTCTTTCCAGCCTTTTTTCCTGATATTATCTTTTTGCATAGTTATGATTATGTAGTCTTTAATCTTTCATATTTTCTCATGGGATCACAAACTCTCAGCATTATTATTAATGGTTATAAAATATGTTGTTTTCCTCTATTGTGAGATATTTAGTTTATAATTTTTCATTTGACAAACATTTATCGAGTACCTACTATGTTCCAGGCACAGTGATTTTTCAGTATGTTAAATAACTCCGCTGTCAACATCTGTCTGCATGAAGCCCTTTTTTCTATTGCATAAGATTATTTCCTTAGTGGCAGAATGACTGGGTCAGAGGATAGAAGCATTTTTAAGAACGGATAAGAAATGACCATATCGTTTTCCCAAAGGGTCCTGATTTTCATGCGGACCTTTTGTGAGTAAGAAAATGCCCTCCTTCTGCCCTTCCTCAGCATTCTCTCTTCTCCTCCTTGAAGGGTCGTTGACTTGTTAGTGTCTTATGTCACTGTTACATCACTGTGCTTTCCCCACAGGTGGCGTGGGCGTCATGTGCCCGCTGACAGAACAAGGCAAGCAGTTGGCTATTCAGGTGTCCAACATACTGGGCATGGACTTCTGCGGCATTGATCTCCTCATCATGGACGATGGCTCCTTTGTAGTGTGTGAGGCAAACGCCAACGTTGGTTTCCTCGCCTTCGACCAGGCATGCAACTTAGACGTGGGTGGGATCATTGCAGACTATGCCATGTCCTTGCTGCCAAGTAGGCAGACTGGGAAGGTGGCTGTCCTCCCAGGACTGTCTAGTCCCAGGGAGAAGATAGAGCCAGATGGCTGTGCTTCAGCTCAGGTTGTTGCAGAGAACATCTACACCATCAACAGTGGGTCTACCTCCAGTGAGAGTGAGCCTGAACTGGGCGAGGTCCGGGATTCCTCGGCAAGCACCACAGGGCCCCCGCCGCCCACGCTGCCCGAACCCAGCTACAACATCAACAGCAGGATTGCTTCCGAATTAAAACTTAAGTGAATTCTTGCCTTTTTTTTTTTTTTTTTGGCAGCATTTAAACCAAATCCTACTGCTTCCCTAGTAGTTTTGAGTGAGTAAAATCTGGACTAATGTGATTTCATTTGCACAGAAACTGGAAATCCCATCTGGGCACTCAGCATTCTTTCTAACGATGATTTAAGCAAATGGCCTAGCTTTGTGGTTTTTACAAAGACTAATCTAAAAACACTCACCAAGAACAACATTGATTTGAGAGCAATGTTGGCTGCGAGCACTTGGATATCACGGCTGATTTTAAGGCGCTGACTCTGTGCTGCTGCTTCTGGCTTTTAGCAGTAGAGCCCATTAACTCGGAAAGGCTCCTGGAAATACTGTGCTCAAAAGCAACCACCGGATGGAGGCGTGTGCAAAAGAGGTGGAACGTGACTGCAGTTATGTGCTCTTCATTAAGTGTGTATGTGTGATGCTTGGAGAATACACAGTTTGAACACGATTCGAGGATCAGTCTCTACTCCCCATCAATCACCATCTTGACCATATTTCTCTGACACTCAGGATATGGTGTTCTAGGGAGCTTCCTCATTAGCATTTTCGATGAAGCACTTTGTAGAAAGTGAAAGTGGACGTTCTTTAACTTCACTGGTTGGCAAATGTCCTGCTCTGTAACTGGGGCTTTCTACAAATTGCTTTGCCACTCCGAATTTACAGACCCACTTCTACTAACGTCAGCCCCAGCAGCCTCTTGCACCTTTGCTGCCTTTGGCCTCAGCTGGAAATTCACTTCAATGAGCTAGTGGCCACACACTTTATTTTTTAAGCGTGCACTAGAATCGAACACCATGGACTTTGTTTTCAATGGACTCTGTTTACTTGTCAGCCAGAAGCCAGTGGGTTTTTATCATGGAAAGTTACTGGAAGATAATCATTTCCGCCTTCTTCTCTACTGAAACTTTGTGTACTACTTAGCTGTGGGCAGTCTTCTTGTATAAGTTGGTGTTATGGGCCTGTTAGGTAGGTAGAGCCATTGGAAACACTTCAATTCCCTTGACATTCTAGTCTTATCCAGGTTCCAGAGACCTGTCCTTACCCACTTTTCAAAACTGGGGAGACTCAGGTATCAGGAATTCTTCATTGCACATTTTGGGGGGAGTTGGATAATGTAGACATGACACCAAGTGCTTTTCATTTTAACTCTTCAAGCAGTCAATGATGATCCTTCCCTTGGGAGAAATCATGGAAAGGAAGTGTTCCATTTCTGCTTAGACGAAGTACAACTGGAAATGAGCAAGTCTACTTTTTTAACCAAATACGCGAAAACATATGCACTCAAGAGTTACCACAATCAGGGTTATTTCCTTAGGAGACCACACTCTTGAGCTGTGATGTTGCATGTGCCAAGAACACAAAGAAATCTTCCTTGGAGTTATCTCTGAAGCCATGCAAGGAAAGAGGGCTCACAACCTTATAGTCGGATCTCGTGTTTTACACCACCCCTTCCCAGAGATAGTCTCAAGCTCCATCACCCATTTTATTTATTGCATTTATCATCTAATGCAATTTGGCTTTTTAAAAAATCATTTCTCAAAAAACAAATCTCTCTTAAAGGACAAAGACTTAACAACATCGAGGAAGCTCACAAGTAGACAATTTCCAAGGAGGGTTCTAGAGTGTTCCGAGTAAGGTCAGCTTCACTAAACTAAACATACATCTTCCCGACATGACTACTTTAAAGGCAACAATACCCACTTGGGTGTTTAAATTACTGTACTTATTCTACTGTAAATGTAAATCGTGTATAAGGTCAAACTTCAATTTTTTCACAACACATTTAAATAGAAATTGGCTTTTAAAATATTGTGGCTTAAATCAGATCTCACCAAGTAACTGTTGTACAATTGGATAATAATGTTCAATGCCATGTAATGGAGATGTCACACTACACAGTTGTAGTTTCAATGCAGTGCAACATAGGGTGCATGCCCCTAAACTGTAACTAGTAATGTGTCTTGTACAGTTGAAAATAATACTTCACCTTTATATAGGTTAAGACATGTACCTTATGTTTACCACTCAGGGTAGGTTTAGAAGAATGTAGTTCTAGGTCTGTTTTTTCTGAAACTGGCCAGATGCTGTCTATGTAAACATCAGAACCGAGTGATGACCTGGAAGCTGCATTCACTCATTCTCACTGTTTAGTGTAAGCTTGGTCTTCCCACTTTATCTAAAAGCATGCTAGTGAGTCCGACCCTGAGCAGAGCAGCTAGAGAGTGAACCTCAGTCAGGTGGCTGGACCACACTCGTCATAGCTGCCCACAAGGCCTGCTGGAAAGAACATAGGGTGGAGAGCCAGATCCAGGTCCTGGCTCTCTTTAAACAGGTGATCAAACTTATATAATCAGATGGTCTCTGTACCTCCATTTTTCCATTCTTCAAATAAGAGAGATGCCTATTCTATTTACCTCTTGTGGGTGCTTTGAGGTTAAAGTAAGTTCCTTAATGAGACTTCATTATGTGGGAGGTAGTGGAAGAATGCCTCCCACATCTGGTTTTATAACAGTTTCTCATCACCCCTCCTCTGAAGGAGTTAAAGAAAAAGGCCATGAATTCTTGGCATTAGCACACTAAACAGTGGTAGGGGCCCTAAAAAGGAATGCAGCTTCTTACAGGCTTTGCGACCTAAAAGGAGTAAGGCTCTCAGTGTATTCAAGCAGCCTTCTGGATGTATCATATATAACCTGAAACCCTTGACTCTCCAATACCAACTAATGGTCTTTCTTATGTAACATAAATTACAGTGTCTGTATACGGTCTTCCCATTATCTAATAGTAGCATCTTGAAACTGGTCAAAACTTGAATGCCAATAGCTCAGTCACTCAGAATATATATAACTCTGCACTTGGGAAAAATGTCTTCCTGCTATCTGTCTGATTGCTGATGAGGTATGGCCAGAATGATTGCCAGATTGTGTCTTTTGGAGCTGTAGGTCTTTAGGATCTGATCAACAATATAAGTGGATGATAAGCTATTAGTGTCACAATTGCAGCTCATTGCTCTCAGCTAAGAGGGGATTCCATGACAGTTGGGATGGGGCGAGGAGGGAAGGGAAGGAGAAAGGTCTGGGATAGTTTTGTGACATTATCTCTTTCAGTGAAAGAGATGATTGGGATCATTTGGAATTCTAGTGGGAAGGAGGAAGACAGGGCTCTTCCGTGGGTTTTAATGAAAGAATCATGAATCTGTATTGATTAGAGGTAGGAGTCTGTTGAAACTAATCTGTGTAAAGATAATGTGATGCATGGCTTCCCATACATCTCTTTTGAAATGGGAGAGATATATGCCCCAGCCCTTCTTTAAATTCTGATGAATGCTGGTCTTGAGTACACTCTGAATGTAAATCAGGGAGATTGAAGCAGCTAGCTGGAGATTCCAGAATCATCCAAGTAATAGCTGGCCCTCCCAGAAGTTAATGTACCAGAAAGCATGTGGGCAAGCCTAGAGCCACAGCTCTCTGAGATGGGTTTAAGGAGTGATTTCAGAGAGTGAATTCAAAATCAGTAAAATAGGGCACGTCAACCAGATACTTTCCTTTGCACCTGGAGGTGAGGCTTCTATTTGCTGTCAGTCTATGCAGGTGTTTTGGGAAAGAGCCCTGACAACAGTCATCTTTGTCACTGTTCCTAAAGTTAGTGTTCTTAGATCTTCTGCTATAGCCAATAGAAAGCCTTGTGCTGCTTTTGACTGCCTCTGAGACTCAAGATGAGATCGTGGCTTTAAAATCTCTCTATCTAGAAGCCCATTCACCTCAGGAATGTACTGTTTTAATCCTTTCTTAAAACTGTTATGCTTCCATTCCAGGTCTATGGTTGGACTCTGCAGCCCTCTCTTCTAAAACTCACACGGCAGAGTATAGAAGCGTTCCTTCAAGCCTTTCAATTTCCTTCTCCAAGTGTGGTTCCCATGCCACCATGAGGCACTATCCTGGTTCTGGTGCTGGCATCTAGACCCCATTTGGTAGTCTTATTCTGCCGTTTCCTGTTCTCTGGGGCTCTAAAGAAACACTAAAAAAGTCACCTATCCAGCCAGACTTGAGGCCATAGGAATAGCAGCACTTTGGAGACAAGTGTAGTTCCCCATTTTATAGATGAGAGATCTGAATCCCAAAAGCCAAGGTCACTTAGCTAGTCAGCAGCAAGGCTAAGACCCAGGCCATCTGACTCCTCATTCAGTGTTGCATACTTCCAGAGGTGGCTCTATTCCACAACGTCTAGCACTTCCTGCCATCCTGGACCCTCTGCTCATTCCATTTCTGAGCCTCTGGACTGGATCAACATGGTGTTGATATGCCAGCTGTGAAGAATTTAGCTCTGGGATGGTGTTCAGATGAGAGTCCCAAAGGCTGTATGAAATTTCCATGGTGCAAGGTAGCTCATGGCCTTCTTTAGACCAACCAAGACCATTTAGCCCCAGCTTATGCCATCGGTGATGCTACATGAGGGAGACGGCCCCTGCCAAGCTGATCGAAGGATTCCTTGGCCCCAATTTGGCTCATATTCCCTCACTGTAAAATGTTTTAGGTTTGTGGAGACCTCTGTGGGCCTCTGCAGAGGACCAAAGGCTTGAAGGTCCCAAATTTCTCCCATGAGGCACACCTGAGGGGGAATCCTGACTGATACATATGTTCTAGTTGTAATCAGCCACAAAGTTAAGTTTCTTCCCACTCCAGTTCCATAGTGCATCCCCATTGCAGCCACTAGGCACAGAGTCTTCCTTATTATAACCCATATGTCAGCTTGGGACCTCCTGTACCTTGAGACCCAGACAAGTCTGATAAACTGGGCCTTTGGATCTCTGCGATTTCTAAGGGACTTATATCTTGGCAGTCACTGCTGACTCCAGATTTCTGCTACCTCATTTTAAGCAACAGTGATGTCTCGTCCCTGTATTATATCAGCTGAGACATGAAGCTCAGTTCCCTCCTCCATTTCTACACATACCAAAATTCAAATGAGTCGGTGCGTGTATGCACATGCGTGCACACATGCCTGTGTGCTTCAGTGATGTGGGAGGAAATGGAAAACATTGCAGCAATGAAGACACAGTGGCCCATTCATAAAATGTTCTTCTGATGTACTACAGAGGAATTCACTCACCTTCCACTCCATGTGGTACCTGTCTCCCTTCCTGAGACAAACCAAACCCATTTATATTCTCACGAACAGCAATATAGCCATTCCTTTTCTTAATCTGATTCCTCCCCATCTTCAAGATTTTACCTTCTACCATCTTGAACAAAGATGGCTTCTTCCTCAAAAGGAATTTGAATGCCATCTCTTAAGGTGATACATTTTTCATTCCCACTATACTAGCCAGGCATCACAAAAGCCATATTTACCACTAGCTGTCAGGGTCATCACACGTTATGGAAGGCAAGATGGACTAATGTAAATGGTGCCAGTTCAAGTTTGACAGCCCCGGTTCGAATACTGACACGTTAATTTATAGCTTCTGTGACCTAGGGAAAGTCACTTAATCTTGAAAGACCTTCGTTTCATCACCTATAAATGTGATGAACACAATCTTGAATGTGAAGCCTTAACCACACGCCTAGCTTTTCAGCAGGTTCCTTTCCTCTTGCTTCCTCCACTGTCAGCTATCAAACAGCTCCTTCCCATGGATCATGGCTCAGTGCCAAGGGATAAAAGCCTGCCGACATCAGCTTTACAGCTGGGAAAAAGAGATGTTGGAGAGGGCGGGGAGGGTTGACGGCTGCTCAAGCATGCTGTGGTTTAGGCTTAATGATTGGAAAGTCCCATCTATCCTTGAGAGTCTATGATGCTATAATATAAGATATAGGGGTTGTATTTGGCTTAGGAAAATCCTGGAAGAAAGGCTGCTTCCAACAATTGGGAGGCTGGAAAGCTGATGAGCAGCCTGACCTTGGGTGATTTAGCACCTGGTTTCTTTGGCTCTTCCTGTATTAGGTTTGCTGGCTTTGCATCAAATGGAAGGAGGAGGTGCCAGGGACTTGAATTAAATCTGTCAAACAGAGGGTGAAGGGAGTGCAGTAGGCCCAGGGGGCTGTGCAGGAAACTCTGATAGTCCAACAGCACCATCTGGACTTGGCAGGGATGACAGCCCTGAGATCAGAAGGAACTAGTCAATAAAGCAGCTAAATTCTGCTGTCTTAGGCCTGTCCTAAGTGAGACTCCCAGAATCTCCTATTTAAAGGAACACTGGTCTCCTATAAGGGGAGAACTGGGGCTCCTAAATACTCTGCAGAACTAATAAACATCTTTGTGAAGGCAGGACCAAGCAGGTGGCTGATTTGTTTAGTCCCACCTGGAGGTCCCCAGAGTGCCAGTGGTGTGCTGGAGCCAGGTTGTACTGGCCCAAGAGTTCGATTTTCAGGAATTTCGTGAGCTGGTTTTTAAACACAGTCATCATTAAAAATTAAATTATAAAACATGATTAAATATAGTATATTAAAATCATAAGTTAATAAATACTCAAAATTGATCACTTCCTAATTATTTTACTACATTTTGCTTTCTATGCTCTTGAGGTTATTGATATCTATTGTATTTGTATGATGGAATGCTATATAATGGTGTGCATCTCTTCCCAACTCCACCATTCAGTATCATCACATTGGTAGCTTGAAATCAGCCATGGTGAGAGTATTTACCCCACAGAGATGAACAAACACTTCTTGCCAAATTCCACTCCCTTCCTGCGCCCCTGCCATAGCTGGTTGTTGAGGTTGTTAAACATTTATTAGCACACCACTGCCACTGGGCGAAGGAAAGAAATTGATACACGTAAACATTGAAACAGCTTAGTTCCAGGGAGGTAGCATGTGTGATATATTCTCTGAAGCAAGTGCCCTGGTATAATATGCAGAACTGACTTGAAACAAAAGAAAAGCACTTGAAAACACTGCTTCTCAGCTTGTTTTGTCTTGTCTCTGTTTTTCACATGTGAGAAATCTGTTTAGTTTGCTCTTAAACTTATGAGTGATTTGTGAGGTTCTGTCTCACCTGTGGGCTGTACCTCAACTAACTTGGCTCCAGGAAAGTGAATTGTTTTTCCTGCCTAATTGGCAAACTGAAAATGTGCTGTAAAAAATATATCTTAACTAGGCACCAAAAGAGCTCATTTCCAAGTGGTTTTGACAGCAATAACAATGTTAACTTCTCAAACAGAGAAGAAATCATAAATGATTGTTTTGCTGTTTTTGCTTTTTATTAAAATTATTACTATGGAACAGAATGCTTTGTTTGCCTTTGTCCCCAAAACTCTGTGCCTTTGGTTGTTCTTTTAAAGTAAGAATCACATGCTGAATCTACATTTTATTATTTTCATATCATAAAATAAAGAAAAAGCTTCATAGAAACTTCCTTCTATTCACTTGCATACCAGCTGCATTCTGAAAAACCATAATTTTCCTTTCAAACACAGAGTGCTGTCTGAATTGTAATATTGCCAACTCTCAACTGTCAAGATGATGGAGGAAAATACTAATGCAGATGGTATGAGCTTGTCGTGGGCTGGCTCGGCATGCTCTCCTGGACTGACATGTGAATTAAGATTCAAATAGCAAGTGAGAGCTGAAAGCCATTAAAAATGGCTGTGTGGTGCAGTAAACGCCCCAGGGAACTGAAAGAATCTGTGTACTCACCCAGAGAACTCTGACAGGTCGGGCTGAGCGATGAGGACTTGTGTCTGCATGACATTTCAAAAGACCTCTTGGGAGAAACAGTGATAAGACCTTTGGGAACAACCTATGGGCAACACCAGGCCTGAGACCCTTGAACTCAGGCTGTTCTTCAGCTTGTGAGGGTAGGGAGCCAAAGTAAGGGAGTCATGGAGATAGCGTGTGTTTGTTGCAGCCAGGGATGATTTGGGGTTATACTCCTATGTTCTACCACTTGTAAAAAAACCTGGGGATTGTGACTTATATTTATTTTTTATTTTTATAAATATCTTCAAACTACGAAAATGTAGAATAGTAAACTTCCCAGAT